CCTCCCCCCACCAACCACCACAAACTCAAAACCTGACTTCCCCGCAATTCGCCACCACGCCAAACGTCGCCCTTACGTTCCCGGGGTCATCAATGTGGTCCATCAAATCGGAAATAGCCGGCGTGTGCATTGTGGGCCGTGCCTGCCACCGCTCGGCAAGCCGGGAAGGCAAACGCTACATGAAGAAAACAAACTGGCCTGAGGCTATATCGGGGCTCGGCGGGGGTAGAGAGGGGAACTGGGAGCCCAGAGATGTTTGGCCAATCAGGACATGTGAGTATTTCCAGCCATTGTTGAATTTGTTGTCTCTATAACATCGCCGCTCGGAAATGGTATGGGGAGAGGGGGTTGGGAGAGAGGGATGGGGGAGAGAGAGTGAATGTATATAGAGAGAGCAGGGTTTGAGGTCAGGAGAGAGAGACAGAGAGAGAGAGAGAGAGAGAGAGAGAGAGAGAGAGAGAGAGAGAGAGAGAGAGAGAGAGTTGGCCTTCTTTTTCCTTCTGATAGATGACGAGCAGACATTACCCTCTTTCTGTTATCTTTTTCTTTAAATATAAGTGTTTTTAAACCCCTCATCGTCACAATTTATAGAGTAGGTGGGCTTCAACCGTGGGTGTCAGGGTCAGGGCCAACCCGGGCTTTGAGGGATACAACGTCTAAGTAGGAAGACTGAGATACTGGATAAAAATTCTGGCCTAACAGGAATCGAACTCTGGTTTTCTGCATGCGACGGCAAAGTGCCCACCTCTACATTACAGCGGCCAGTTATGAAGTTCTAGTCAAGTCCATGTCGATGACCTCGAAATGGCTGGCATTGGTTTTTTAGACTCAACAAACAATCCATACCCTGCTTCTCCCTCCCTTGACTCCCTCTCCCCAAACACACACACACACACACACACACACACACACACACACACACACACACACACACATATACACACACATCTTCTGTTCCAAAGAGAAACAAAGAAACAAACAAACGAGTAAAAAATCATAAAGACCAGGGACAACAAAAATCAACGACACCACTTCATGACTTCATGTCAACCCCTCCCGCCCAGAAATAAACAAGAGACCACACGCCCAAACAACATAAACAAGAAGTAACTTGCTCCCTGGGAAAAACCCTAGTTAAACTCCTGCCATTATATCAATTCTCTACGTGGTAATCATTACCATAACCAACACCATCACCACCGCCACCACCACCAGCATCATCACCAGAATCATCAACATCACCGTCATGACCACCATCACGACCATCATCACCACCACCATCACCACCACCACCACCATCATATCTTCAGCACTTACATCTGTATGACCTAATTGTGTGTTCAAGTGCCGTAAAACTCAGATTAAAACTAACTCACCCTGGGAGAAGGTGTTGAAGGTACAGAAGAAGGAGCCGAGAATCCAGAAGGGCGTCAGGTCATCCACAAGGTGAGCCCACGAGCAGCTCAAGGTCACTAGACAGTCCGCAACCGCCAGGTTCACGATGTAGTAATTGGTTGTAGTCTGTCAGGGGAGAAAGAAGTGTGCGTATTAATACATCATAAGGTAGGCATTGTAAGTGTTGTAGCCTGTAGGTGGAGAAAGAAATGGAATGTGTGAATTAATACGTTATGATGTGGTATTTATTTGGTTGTAATCTGTCAGAGGAGAGAGAAATGGTGAATTAATACAATATGATATGGTAGTTGGTTGTAATCCTCCAGGGAAAAGATAACTAGCAAATTGATACAATAATTCATGTTGTAGTAGTTGGTTGCAGTCTTTCGGAAGCGAAAGGAAGGAGCGAATTAATACACTCTGATGTGGTATTTATTTGGTTGTAATCTGTCAGAGGAGAGAGAAATGAGTGAGCGAAATAATACATTATGATGTAGTAGTTAGTTGTAGTCTGTCAGTGGAGAAACGGATAAGCGAATTGATACATTATGATTTGGTATTTATTTGGTTACAATCTGTCAAAGGAGGGAGCAATGGGCGAATTAATACATTATGGTTTTGTATTTATTTGGTTGTAGTCTGTCAGAGGGGAGAGAAATGGGCCAATTAATGCATGATAATTATAATGTAACTGCTTATAATCTTTCACAGAATAGAATATGAGCGAATAATTACAATGTAATAATTAGTTGTAGTCTGTCAGAGGATAAAAAATGGGCGAATTAATACATCAGGTCTTCCTTACGTGAAGCCGATTGTTACAAAGCTTACTACGAATTCTACGGAACAGCTGATGGATGAACATCGGTATCTTTCTATTTTTGTTTTTTTCGGGAAATTACCAGCTCAACCTGGTAGCTTGGTGATGTTCTATCTTTGAAGCGACATCTTCCGTATTAAGTTACGCATAATCTAGCAGGTACATCATACATGCATTTGTTATTGGTAACAGTTACAACGTAGAGAGTTGATATCTCGGCAGTAGTTTGACTAATTTGGGGTGGTTGAAGGGCGTTATTATTGGATCCCACTTCTTTTTTTGGCCTATTAGTTGCCTTTGTCTATTTTGTTTTTTCTTGTAATATGCAACCATTATTGAGTCCATGTACATCTATACATAAAGTAAGTAAGGCTACTTTGCTGCCATACAATGAACGTCAGTCGCCCAAGCACTCATGACACGTTGGTTTTGACGTTTGAGTGGGGGGGGGGGGGGGGGGGTAGCGAGGGTAGAAACGCTTTTCAACGATCCATACATATACAAACATGCACTTTTGTAACCTTAAGGCTCGTCGTGGACCCCCCCCCCCCCCCCCCAAAAAAAAAGGAACAATTCCCCTAAAAAAAGAAAAACACCCCAAAACAACAACAACAACAACAACAACAACAAAACAACACACAAATAAACAAACAAAATAGAGCAACAAATACAACAACTAGCAAACAAAACAAAAACACCCTGATTGCCCCAAGTGCCTGGCTTAGACTTTCAGTTGGGAATGATGGTAATTACAGGGCGGCTTTGAAGACTCCTACGATTTATCAGCTGAGCCTTTGAGATTACAAAAAATACCACCTTTTTTTCTATGTTCGCGAAACTTTTTCAAGTGTCAAGCCTCCGGTTAATATTTGTGTGTTCAATAAGATCAACCTTGCTGTTTTTTAACAGTCGTTTCACGTTCATTATTCATTAGGCATTAGGGAATAATAACGAGTAGTCAACAGACTCAGTATGCATTGTTCAACCTGAATCACTACATTTTGTCAGCATTGATAAACATGTTCACTACTGCCGTTGAGAGCACGTTTGTATCGGCATCTCTCCTGAAAAAAAAGCAAACTTCATTGATTGAAAACAAGGCTGTTTTATTTTTTTTTATATAGGCAAAGCCGTCAAGGTGGGTGGGCTAATCAAGCTGGGCAACCATAAACTTTTTCAAACGAAAAAAAACCCTCCATCCAATAAGCTGCGAAGAAATATTTTTGCTAACAGGGAGTGATTATTTGATTAATTCAAAATCCTTCGCATATAAACCTTTAGGTAAACATTTCTCTCGTCTCTCTTGGCGAATTTTCTTTTGCAAACGTCAAGCACTCACGATAACTGTTATAAAAAAAAGCATCACACCACCTTGTCATCCACTTTATTTCACGGTTTCTCCCCAAGTAGTCTGCAAAACATCCACACACATTTATAACCAGGAGGCCCCATATTGTTATGGGGAAATCATTGTGCGTAATTATTTTTTCCTAAATGTTCTACAGCCCCACCGGAGCAGTATTGATCCTCGGGGGATGGAGGGGGGGGGGAGGGGGAGGGGATGGAGGCTGCTTAGTCTCCGCTTGTCAGAGCGGTGTGGAGCTATATTATATTCCAGAAGAAACGATGGGATTCTGGAAAGATATTTAATGAAATCCGTACGACTGATCTGGAATACAAATATTTCCAACTTCCCATTTTAGATTTCCTCTTGTTTTACACGAAGACGATGTTTATAAAGCTTGTTGTATGAATATTCATATCAACATCTCGCAACTCACTGAGCACACAAACGCGTTTTTAAAAGCTAATCGTATCTCAAACGAAAGCTTGAAATACAAGCTAATGACCCAACCCCTTACATTGTAGGATATGATGCAAGACGAATCTTATAGACAGACCCAAGAAAAAAACAAGGTGTGGAAAGCATTAAGTGAAGCAAGGTGCAGGCAATAAATGTTGCTTGAGCAGAGATATTCACCTTAGCCTTTGTGTATGAATATAAAAGCAAAATAACAATGAGAAAGTTTAAGAGGAAAGCAGCCAAAATGTTCTGCGAAAGTAGTTCAGAAATGAAAGGTTGCCAGGACGGATTTTGAAACAAAAACCTGTGTGACTTATGTCGCTGCAATACTAGGAGGAATGAGAGTAAGGTAGGTGGTTTGGGGTGATAAACGCTTAAACACTAATAATTCCCATTTACAGACTTCAACAAAAGTTAGGGGCCACTTGCAAACACTCTCGCAGCTCAAACAGTTGAAAAGCAAATCATTTTAAATTTCAAAGAAAATTAATGAAATTGTTTCTTAACAAAATCAATCCAGTTTCAGAATGAGGACGAAACGAACTTAGGCAATATGTTGCTCGGAACAAGAGTACCCCTCAAAGGAAAACACCAGGAATTATTGTCCTTGACAGTTCGTTCAAAAACGGGTATACCCACCACGCGGAGCAATGCAATCAAGGCAGTGTTATCGCATGGTGTTGATGGTGGTGGCAATGAAGGCCTGGGGAAGGTTTGCCCACTCCTGCTGCAGGATCTGTAGCAGCTCTTGTCAGTCAGCTTGTGGTGGTTGGTGCTGCTGGACTCTCCGTGCCAAGTTCACCCCACACATTCTCAATAGGGTTGAAGTCGGGACTGTTTGCTGGCCATGGCATTCTTGTGATTCCTGCTTGCCTGATGTCGACGCCGTCACACTCGCACACGTCCATCTTTTGGGTTGACCATGAATCATGACTCATCTGTGAACAGCTCATGGCCCGTTTGTTCATGGGCCCTGTACCAAGCAAGACCACATGTCTGGTGTCCTGCGGTCAGCCTTGGTTTCTCGATTGGACGACTGGCACGGATGATGGCAGCATGCAAAGGACGCTGAATGGTCTGGGAGCTCACCGCCGTGTTGGTAACAGCACGCAGACGATGCATGATGCAGCCATGTCATAGCCCTGGCACGATCAAAGTCTCTCAGCTTTCGTCTTGGTGGCGTGTTGATGAGATACTGGATTTTGCGCAAACAGCTGGTTATATTGCTACCAAAGTGACCACAGTTGGAGACCATACGTCTGTATATCACATGCACTAGAAACTTTAACTTAGGAATGTCTATGGTGTCGCACACAAGTCGATAAAAAACAGAAAATTTGGCTAAAATTCCCCAAGGATTTCCGTACTGCACATGGGCGTTTTGCGAAGCGTTGCAATACACATTGTTAACCCTTTAACACTTTCAGAGCAAACCAATTTAAAACATTCCTTGCTGTCTTTTTTTTTCGGGTTTTTCAAAAATTATGGCTGTCTGTCAAGGTGGTCCTTAACTTATGTTGAAGTCTGTATTTCTACTGATGGTTGACTCATGACTTGACACATACGTAGAAAAAACGGCAAAGCATTTTTCAATAACCGTGATGCCAGACCATGAAGAAACATTTCAGAATATAATTTTTGTGATGTCAGTAGTCTAGTGGGTAGGTTACCAGACTGGTAAGTGTGAGGTTGTGGGTACAGGGGTTTGGGCCTCAGGCCTGACATCGTGTCCAAAGAATTTCACGAATTTTCCCTACTTCACCGAGGTATGAATGAATATGGCCAAAGGCAGCGACAAATCTTGTCAGTATATTTAGTGTTTTAGCACCTGTAAAATGGCAGCTTGCATTGTATACTTCCCACAAAATTGAGATTGTCTCAGAATGCTATCAGGTCTACTGGAATAATAATAAAGATTGTAAAACACATAGAGCTTTCTGTTGAGCTGGTATTTGCGTTATACAATTGATGCTATCTATTTATCTATAATAATAATAATAATAATAATAATAATAATAGTAATAATAATAATAATAATAATAATAATAATAATAATAATACTAATAATAATAATAATATAACAATAATAATAATAATGATTATTATGATTATTATAATTATTATGATTATTATTATTGTTGTTGTTGTAATTATTATTATTATTAATATTATTATTATTATTATTATTATTATTATTATTATTATTATTATTATTATTATTATTATTATTATCATCATTAAAGCAGTGTTTGCATACCCCTCAATTATTCTAACCTTGTTGAAAATATAACGCGTATTCATACCAGTACTAGGGTATTTGAACTAGAAATAGTATGCCTCTACTCTAGACCTAACTGATAGAACCCCTGGAATCATTCAAATGTTCTTCTTCTCCTTTAAGTGTATAGTTCTTCTATTAAAACACCTTCATTTAATAATGAATGTATGTTACAACCACTGAGCTGATTTGAAATTTGAACGCAGAAAGCGATCTCATGTTTT